AATAAACTAAAACATTATAATTCAATTCTATTTTATTAATAAAAATTACGACATATATAAAATATGATTCATTATTTTTTAATCCTATACAATTTCTCCTCTGAGTTATGTCTCTTCATGTTATTATTAATGTGATTTTCTATCATAGATAAGCTGGATGAAGTCTCAAGTTTTAATCTCATTTTATTTAAAATTCTAATAAAGTTAATATATATATATATATAGACACACACACACTTATGAATTAAACTCAATCATTATTAAAATTTGCTCACGTTAGATATGTCGAACTCTCGATCAAACTATTTCAGGAAACAATACATTGTTTTGAAGAATTATGAACTGCTTAATATCATTTATCTATATACATAAATTGTGAGACTAGAAATAGTAAGACAAATGCAAAGTCATCTACCCTTTTTCTGTTTTTTTTTAATCTGAGATAGCAAGTCTTAAATCATGTCACTTTTATCATTACTTCGCTACGTAAAGGGGCTAGCTAGCATTATAGTATCATAAACCATGAATGTGTGCCGCAATTTGAATTAATATAGGTAATTGTAGGTTAATAATTATGAATAATTCTTTATGTTTACAAGTTTATTTATAATTATAAGAACTATAGGCTTCTATTAAATATATTTTTTATGTTTTAAGTGTTTTTGGTGTAAGTTATTACTAATATAATACATTTCCAGCCTTGTAAAACAATCTTAAAAATTTATTTAATCTTTTATTAGATTTTATTTAATTTATCCTGTGATATAGATTAATTAGTTATTTAAAAGGTTTTCAGCAACTTTAATAATAATAATGATAATGATAAAAGTTTTTTGCAAATGTGTCCATACACACACTAAACATTTTATTTCTTATCTCAAATAAAGATGTTTATAGTCCATTAACTATCAAAAAAATTTATGGTGAGCATGTAATAACTAATGATATTGTATTAATTATTTTTTTAAGATCAATTTTAAATTAAAAAACATCACAAATATAAAAGAGAAAATAAAATTTAGGATCCATAAAAAAATTATAAGAATATCTTCAATTAAAATTTTTATTATTTATTGTATCTATTAAATCTTTTTAAAATAATAGGATAAATTTTTTTAAAAAATTCCATAGAACGGATAATTCGTTTCCATAAATTAGATATTACTAAAAAAGGGTTTGAAATTTCTCTTGCAATCTATTTTTGGCTAGTCAAAGCTTTATTTGAACCTAGTTTCAGCTAATTAATTATAAATTTCTATGATTATTATTATTATTTTAGATTAAAAAAAAAAAGAAAGAAGGGATTTGATTAATTACTCCACAAATGAAAAATGGGCCGTGGTTAACCTTGCATTATGAGCAGTGGGTTTAAAGTCCAAACACCTAAGGTCAAGGTAAAGGGCCAATGGGCCTTATAAGATCATTACCGACTTGTCATTCAAAAAACTTAATGAATTTTCCGACCTGCCGGATTCGAACCAGCGACCTAAGGATGGCTATTTGGATTTCACCCACTACAGTCCTCCGCTCTGCCAACTGAGCTAAGGTCGGAAGCTATCAACGGAGGGTGGCTAAATATATATAAATATTAAAACATGAATTTGTGCCACAATTTACGTCTCATCTGAAGATTCTGAACCTGCGTATTATCGTTTGGATCAACCTGTAGTGTTTTAATTTAATTTGTACATTAGGTTAATTGAATCTTTAATTTGCATTAAAAATAAATAAACTAAAACATTATAATTCAATTCTATTTTATTAATAAAAATTACGACATATATAAAATATGATTCATTATTTTTTAATCCTATACAATTTCTCCTCTCAGTTATGTCTCTTCATGTTATTATTAATGTGATTTTCTATCATAGATAAGCTGGATGAAGTCTCAAGTTTTAATCTCATTTTATTTAAAATTCTAATAAAGTTAATATATATATATATATAGACACACACACACTTATGAATTAAACTCAATCATTATTAAAATTTGCTCACGTTAGATATGTCGAACTCTCGATCAAACTATTTCAGGAAACAATACATTGTTTTGAAGAATTATGAACTGCTTAATATCATTTATCTATATACATAAATTGTGAGACTAGAAATAGTAAGACAAATGCAAAGTCATCTACCCTTTTTCTGTTTTTTTTTAATCTGAGATAGCAAGTCTTAAATCATGTCACTTTTATCATTACTTTTTATTTGATATTATATAACCTTTCCCAAAATCATACTTGGCGTAGCGATATGACCTTCGTTATAGAAAATATTAATTATACCTGGATTTAGCACGATTATGTAATGCTAGTTTTGGCCCTGTACTTCTCAATGGGCCAGATTTTTTTTTTTGTCAAATATAATATTTGAGTACCATAAAAATATTTTTTCAAAAATATTTGATTTTGATTCTATTAATTAGATGTTGAAAAAAGACATTAACATCAAATGAACTAAATAAATAAAAAAGTGACTAACTAACATAAGGAAAAAAAACTCCTTTTCAAAATGAAAAAATTAAGAAAAAAATGACGTGGCTGAATTCTTAACAAATTAAATTCAAATGTTTAAAATTAATATAAATTAAGATAAAAAAATTCTTGGAGTCAATTCAAATTAGAATGACAAATTGATAACTTGTTATTTCACAAATTAAATGGTTCCTTTCAAATTACATGAGCCTCCTAGATGTGGAGGAGCGCCAAGATAGTTTTATTGTCATCCTAGATTCCATTACATGCCTAGCAGGAAACATCACATAAACCATCTAAAGACAATTGTTTTTTTTTATCTCGGGGGAAATTTAATTATTTATAGTAAAAAAACTATTAAAAAATCATAATATCCCCAATAATCAAGCCTATGTCTTCTTGAGAAGAGCAGATTTATAATTTCACTGTCTCAATCTATAATGAACATGAATCTAGAGCTCCAGTTGTTTTTGGCACGGTTCAAAACACACTTTCAATATTTTAGTTTTTTCTTCATGTACATACATGTGGGTTTCTTAAACTTTATTTATTTTGTTAAAAATTTAAAGCAGTTCGACTATCTCAACTTCTTTCTTCTTTCTTTTGGGATAAATCAAACTTCATGTAGGATCAAGGATACAAAACGCAAACTTGGAAATAAGAACAAAAGAAAACCAAGTTCAAAAGGAGCCAAACAGGTAGCATAAGTAACAAAAGATTTTATTTTTTTAATTTACGTGGGCCTCCTAGATGTGGAGGAGCGCTAAGATAGTTTTATTGTCATCCTAGATTCCATTACATGCCTAGCAGGAAACATCACATAAACCATCTAAAGACAATTGTTTTTTTTTATCTCGGGGGAAATTTAATTATTTATAGTAAAAAAACTATTAAAAAATCATAATATCCCCAATAATCAAGCCTATGTCTTCTTGAGAAGAGCAGATTTATAATTTCACTGTCTCAATCTATAATGAACATGAATCTAGAGCTCCAGTTGTTTTTGGCACGGTTCAAAACACACTTTCAATATTTTAGTTTTTTCTTCATGTACATACATGTGGGTTTCTTAAACTTTATTTATTTTGTTAAAAATTTAAAGCAGTTCGACTATCTCAACTTCTTTCTTCTTTCTTTTGGGATAAATCAAACTTCATGTAGGATCAAGGATACAAAACGCAAACTTGGAAATAAGAACAAAAGAAAACCAAGTTCAAAAGGAGCCAAACAGGTAGCATAAGTAACAAAAGACACCAAACAAATCAGAGACGAGGCTACCTGAAGTTTTAGCCATAGTTTTAAAAATTTATCTAGTATTAACATGTTAATTTAAAAAAAATTAAAAAGAATTAATATAATATCATTTTAACACGCATCAAGACTCAAAACACATATAAGAAAAGGTAATTTAAAAAAAATTAAAAAATTAAAATAATATCATTTTAACTAAAATAACTTTTTAATAAAATATTTAATGATTTTTTGAACCGAGTTTACTTGAATCACAGCTCAATACAGTTTTTTTATTAGATTAGTCTTGGATAATTTCTAGGTTTTTTTTTATTCAACTCAAACCGATTTAGTTGTGGATAATTTCTTTTTTATTTTTTATTCAACTCAAACCGATTTAGTTGTTAGATGTCAAATAGATCTAATCCTCACTTTATAACTATATATGTTTTTAAAATAACACGTTGAATTCATTTCACTCGTATAAAAGTATATTTAGAAAAATATCTAATAGAATCAGAGCCGAAACTCAAGATATAAAAGGATACAAACCCATGATTCCATCCATAAGTTCTTTTATATGCTGTTTGTAGCCATATGAATTAAGTTTAATAGAAAACTTTTAATTAGATTTCATGTTTTAAAATTATTTTTAAGTGTATTCTAAATAGAATTAAATCTCTAAAAATATTATAAAAATAAATCAAATTTCAACTCCTTTAATTTATTGTACTAACAAAAATTAATTAATATTAAAACTAGCTTTCCTTCATTATTCATATACTCATCTTTTGTTTATATATTTTTAAAGGAATAAAATAAAACAAATTTTCTTTGTTTCAATCATGCATGCGACTAAAACTCATTCATTAATTAAACCAAAATTGAAAGCTACGATTTTTAAACAATTGTCGGAGAGTCAGGCAACGTCATTTCATGAACATTTTCAGATTATATTTACTCAAATCATACATTGTTAAATGCCTCACGCAATTCATTATATATAGTATGTTTGATATGGATAAGAATCTAGCCAAATCAACAATAAAAAAGTTTGATAGGGCTTTTAATCCTCTCAGGTCAAAATCTACTCAATACTATATATGTGGTAGACGTTGATTGATAGCAATTAAAACACATTTCAAATAAAATTAACTAGTGGGTCACATGATTGAAAATCTTGCCTACAGTAGGAAAAAACAAATTCTGAAAGTTATCACATTTTATTTTTATCCAAGTTTTGTGAGTTAATGTTTACTTGATTCGCCATTTTTCTTAAAATATTCCCCTCATCTCAAAGCTTTTTGTGGAGAGCAACATTTTTAACCAGTGTTGGCAGAGAGAATGGGATCGTTAGACGAAGAGACATTACTGAGAGGCCAAGTAGAAGTATGGCAGCTCATGTTTGGCTTCGCAGAATCTATGTCATTGAAGTGTGCGATAGAGCTAGGCATAGCAGACATTATAAATTCTCTTGGCGGTCCAGTGACTTTGAACCAGATAGCTTCAGGTTCTTTACAATTTCCACTCGTTTTTTCCATACTCAGAATAATTCTATATAGTCGTCCATCATTTTATTTATATATTTATTTATTTATTTTTATCTTCTTTTTTTTTTTTTTTGGGGGGGGGGGGGTTGGGAATTGACATTCCCTACCTTGCTCGAATCATGAGATTTCTGGTCCGCAAACGAGTCTTCACACAACACAATCCATCTGATGGAGGAGAGACTCTCTATGGA